GTATTTAGCATTAACAGTATTAATTTACATTACGAGTTTATGTTACATTTTGCGCCATAATTAAACCTCGTCTCTTCGTACCTCCCCAACTAACGACAGGTCTGAGATTGTTTTTTGTGTAAATACGATAAAAGGCATGGGAAAATAATTAAAAGAAGGGGGGAGGAACAAAAATCAGTTACCAGAGGGTGGAACCTGCGTATATCAGCAAACTCATCAACTTTGCAAGCCGAGTACTTTTTAAATATTGACTTCTAAATAGCGGGTAAAACAAAATGGAAACATATCTTGAAAAAGAGTAATAGTCCGTGCATGGCTTAAAACTAGATTAACTGAAAGAAAATAATAATAGCGGAGCCCCATAGCTTAGATAATTTGGTAAACTATCCATCCGAGAAATTTTGGTTGTGACGTCAGCATACTCCGTACGTCCGTACACTCTTGGGGGTAAGGGAAGGGAATCAGGTGTCAGCCCGTCGGGGGAGGAGTATGTTATATCAGTTCTTGGCGGGAAATCGCGTGATCCGTTTGTGCAACTCGCGTTTTTCCGGACGGCAAAATTGCGTGGCCATTATAGTCGCGTTGCAAAACTTGTTTTCTTTTAGAATACTTCATGGAAAGTACGCGCGTACGGCATTTACGCAAGTTCATAAATGTCACATGTTTTGTTTTTGCTGAGCTTGAACATCCCGTTCAGGTCATTTTTCTGATGAGAATGTGCATGCCCTCCTCTTTATTAGTTTCTAAAACTACCCGTAAAGCAGACAATGTAACAGTTGATGAAGAGGAACGGCACGTACCTCTTTGGTCAATCACCTGGTCGATACTTGGTTGAAGCGACCGCTATCTTTATTTACGTTCGTACCCATGTAAACATCGAACGAGATTTGGGAAATCAAGGATCGACTACTATAGCAACTAGTATCTACAACTGTGCGGAGACATAAATCCCAATCCAGGACCTACTTTAGAAAAGGTTCACGAATTGTGGAGTTTACAGTCCTGAAATAAGCGATCATGCACTTATTTATGGGTTTATGAGGGAAGAAGTTAAAACTGAGAAAGGGAGGATTATCAAATTTAGATCTAACAGGAACTTTGAGGAAGAAAAGTATAAGGAGGACCTCTGTAACGCTGCATGGCGCAGGCTGGGGAGATTTTCGACACTGCTGATGATAAAGCTGGTTTCTGGGAAGTGCTCATGACTAGTATAGTGGACGAAAATCTACCTGTAAAGAAAGTGAGAGTTAAACCCCAAGATGTTCCTTACATATACATGTCTCGTGAATGGGGGAAAAATGCTACAAGGAAGAAAAGAAGAGCTGCCAGAAAATATCAAAAGGAACAAACAAGGGAAAACTGGGAAAACAAACGTAAACTCGGGAACGAGGCAATCAGACTTACAAGAAAAGCTATTAGAGAATACTGGAAAACTCAATCGTCTCTCCTTAATCTAAACCCAGTCAGTTTTATAAAACAATCATGCCCTTCTTAAGTACAAAGATCAAGAAGAAAGACAACGATCACCTCAGTTTAACAATTGATGGAGGCATCTGTCATGATTAACCCAAGATTGCAAATCGTCTTTGTAATTACAGGGTGTCCCAAAAGTTCGTTCCTCCACTTTTTAAAGCTGTAATGAAGTACGATTCGACTCGGAAAGCAAATCGTTTAACCAAAAGTTTTGTCTTTCAATATAATTTAATATTTTATTCTTGTTGTGCCATCTTGTGCCTCTAATATTTTATTTGTGTACTTCCGCGCCAAAGGTGCGCGTGCCCGAGTGCATTTTTCCCGCCACATTTTTTTGTATTTTGTAGCCCGAATTGCTCAAACGTTGGGTGGTAAAATAGTCATCGAGAAATGAGGGTTTTGAAGACAAAAAAGAAAGGGAACACTGATAGTACTGAATTACGCAGAAATAGTTTTGAAGAAGGCTATGTGCAAAAGAGGAAACTCAACGAGGTAGCTCTCACAACAGTTAGCAAGCCAAGTCTGGAGCAGGTTCGTGAAAAGCGAAGGTTAGAGGCCCTGACATAGGGGGAAAAACCTCCGATTAGTCCGCCAAACAACGATCAGCTCGTCTCAAATTTGAAAAGAGGTACAAATGCGTTACTGTAGATAGGGCCGAGATGATTACCTTTTTTTGAATGAATGCCCAAAGTATATATTTTTGCAGCTGCCTAATCCAAAAAAAGACTGTTTGGGCGTTAAAGTGGCTCCTGCGTAACAGGTGATAAAAAATCTCAAAATACATCATCTGTGGCTCTACATGCTGTATCCTACTTAAAGGGGGAATACTGATCACTGAAATTCTGAATATATGTAATTGATGGAGCAATAAACATCTTGTAAAAATTTCATGTAAGAATAAAGTTTTGATCAAAAGTTATAGCGCAAGAAATAAGAGGAACGAACTTTTGGGACACCCTGTACTTTGCCGGTATTGCACGTGGGATAGGAAATATCGATTGCAAAAGGATGACACATTTGTTACACATGCAAGTGTACAGAATATCACTAACAACTCAAATGATGCAGACAACTTCTAGTTCCAGGTTGTAAAGAGGACTGAGGTTGAAGGGGCTCTGCAAAGCCTTAAAACCAAGAAAAGTGATGGCTGGGTTGGCATTTCGTCCATGGCCCTAAAAATTGGTGCTAATGAGTCGTTGATACCGCTAACAACGCTATATAATGCTTTTATCTCCAGCTGTGAATGGCCTGCTATGTGGAAGAAAGCTGACTGGATCCCAATGACCATCGTCTAAAGGAGAACTATCGTCCGATAACTGTGCAAGTTACAGTAAACAAAGTTTTTGAACAGCTATTCAGTATACAGTTAAGCACTAAATTCGAGAGTAGGTTTAGTGGTAATCTAACTGCATGCAAAAGAATATGCCCTTCATACCTAGGATTTGAATTCTTGACTCCGTGACTAACACCTACGCAAACCTTGGAATGAAAGATTATGTAAAATATCTCGGCTTAATGATTGATTCAAATCTTTCATGGAAATACCACATCGAATCTATCTTTCACAAAATCAGCAAGTCCATCTTTAGGAATTATAGCTAGGATTCGACATTATGTCCCGCGCCGTGTTTTACTTTCAGTTTACAACTCATTAAGTGTCCCTTACTTGACTTATGGTATTTGTGGTTGGGGAAACTGTGCCTTGACATTTCAAAGAAAGATCGTAACTCTACAAAAACGGGCCTTACGTCTCATTTACTTCAGTAAGTCTAAGGAACACACCGTACCCTTCTTTCTCAAATCAAATTGCCTTCCCCTGCCTAGCCTATTTTTCAGAGATTGTAGCTATTTATTGTATGATATCAACAGACAGGCAGCGCCAGTTCGAATACTCAATCAGTTCGTTAAAACAAGTCAGATTCATAACTACAGATCTGTCTCTAGCGACTCGTTTTATGTTAAGTTCTCTAGAACCGATAAAATGTATGCCTTTTTCACGAGAATCTGTGCCCAAATTTGGAACTCTATTCCTCATTCGATTAAAAGGCTTAAACGTTCGTCCTTTCGTAAAAAAATAAAGGAAGTATTACGAAATTTCTTGCGGTCAGAAGATGATTATGTCGAAGTCTCCCGTCTTATTAAGTTATTTAATACTTTAGGTTAGCCTCTCTTCGTAATCGTTATGTACTTGCCTTGTTTTTTTGTTAGTTTATTCTATTTACTGTACAGTAGTGTCTTCACTGTTATTTAGTCCATCTATATATAAATCTTGTACTTGTAAGGTGTCTTCAGCTCCCCCCGCCTCGATTAGTTTATAAGCTATTTGCGGGTGGGAATGTAATGTAGTTAGTTATCTTTCCAATTCTCAATAAAATTTGTTGTTGTTGTTGTTGTTGTTGTGTACCCTGCGTAACCGACGGTTACATTATATGGCTGGTCTTATGCACAAGGTAAAGAATAATACTTGTCCTAAATACATTGCTGGCCTTTTCCAGAGGACAGATACCAAATATCCACTGAGGAACAAGGAATTTGTAATACCTAGATTTAATACGATTACACAGGGGAAGTATTCAATTTGGTACAGTATATTGGCGCTAAGTTATGAAATTTACTGCCTAAAAAGATCAGGGACTTTCCTACAATATCTGTGTTCAAGCAGCGTATTCTACAGTTTGATCTAAATTCCTTGCTTGCTGACGCTCAGTGCTCATTTGCACTTTATGTAGTGCGTAATGAACATACCACTCGTTCACTAAGCTCATACGCACTTGTGAATAGTTTTTTTAAAATATTAGTATTAAACATATAAAATCTTTTTAATTTTACACTCAGTCTCTAGTCAATAATGATACACTTGTAAATAGTTTTATTAATTCGATTTAAATTGCTACAATAGTTGCTTATTTTACAAGTAATTTATAGTGTCATTATTTAGTGGTTCCTCTACTGCTATGATAGTTTGACACTTATTAAATAAACGTATTGATTGATCAATTGATTGGTTCGCGCTTGTATGATTCGCGTGCGAAAAGCAAAACGCTTTGACGTCCCAACTGTGTTTACATACTCTCATGCGAACACTCCTCTCCGCCAATCAGAGCGCGCGTACTATCTTAGTCATTTTGTAATTTGTAATCTAAATTTGAAATCCAATTCGAAAAAATTGGATTTGAAAATTTGAAAGTCCAACTCCTTTTTTAAAATATCTATCATAATTTACCTGTAACCCACAACAAGAAACTGTTTGATCTTGCTCGGCTAAACATGTTCTTGTATTTTTGGGTATTAAAGTGGCAAATTTCTTCCACGACTTTCTTAACCCACTAGGTTCTTAAACGCGGGTTTTACTGTATCTGTGTAGGTGAATATTTAAGAGATCTACCAACCCTGAGGGCTTAGATATTCTTCCATGTTCATCCCCGAGGACTGTGGTCTCGAGGGATTTATACGAATTCACGATTATTATTTTTATTTCATTGTTATCATCATTATTGTCTTTATTTTCTTCAGTGATAGACACAACTGAAGAAAGGACAGAGGACCAACTCCGAGAAAAAGACAAGCAAGTGAGGGAGAATGATGAGCAACTGAGGAGAACAGAAGAGCAACTGAGAGTGAAAGGTGAGCAGCTTGAAATAAATGAGAAGCAACTGCGAGAAAAAGGCAAGCAAGTGAGGGAGAAAGATGAGCAATTGAGGGAGAAAGATGTGCAATTGAGAGAGACAGAGGAGCAACTGAGAGTGAAAGAGAAGCACCTTAAAATAAACGAGAAGCAACTGCAAGAAAAAGGCAAGCTTGTGATGGAGAAAGATGAGCAACTGAGGAGGACACAAGAGCAACTGAGAGTGAAAGAGGAGCAAAAACAGAGTTTGCAAAGACAATTGAGCATTTTGGAAGGTGATAAAACGAGAGAAAGCGCTAAATTCCAAGAACAATTAAATATCAAGGTGCAAGAACTGACCGACTTACGAAAAGAGTTGAGAGATCGTGAACAAGATAACGTTGTACTCGAAAAAGACCTCTTCGCAGCTAAAGAAAAATTAACTGAATATGAAAGTAAGTTAAAGACACGTGACTGGGTCCTTTGCCGAGATGAACTTCAGTTAAGTGATGAAAGTCTTGGAGTGGGGTCGTTTGGACGAGTTGTGAAAGGTAGATATTGTGGCTGTGTGGTGGCTATAAAACGGCTTCATCTACCAACTCTTAATCAGCGACAGCGCCATTTGTTTGAACGGGAAATGGATATAGCCTCAAGATGCCGTCATCCATGTTTGTTACAGTTCATCGGAGCTACCGAAGACGAAAGTCCTTTGTTTGTTACAGAAATCATGGAGACAAGTTTACAAAACTTGTTACAAAAGCGGAAGCAAAAGAATCGACACCTCACCGAGACTGATATCATTTTTATATCTTTGGATGTTGCTCGAGCCCTAAACTACCTTCATCAACGAAAACCTGAACCAATTGTACATCGTGATGTGAGTAGCGCTAATGTGTTGCTGTGGAAACAGAATAACCAGTGGAGAGGCAAACTGGGAGATTATGGAACTGCGAAATTTCTTCAAGAAACTATGACAGTTGCTCCTGGAGCTATGATTTACGCCGCGCCTGAAATAGGTTGTCCTTTCAAGCAAACAGTGAAGGTAAGTCTACTATATGGAATCAGTTTGTAAAGGTTAATGATTTTCCTTAAATCCAGTGTAGATTGAGAAATGGCCTCAATATGAACAACACTAATATCTATTCCAACTTCTCATGTAGTTACAAATTCCATTGACTCATACGTCAAACCACAACGATTTGGCAGCCTTTGAAAAATACGAATAGTTTTTGTGACCCTTTCTTTCTTATAAGACGATAAATTTGTGAAAGCTGTTCAGTAACGATTTTGTAGCCAGAAACGTATTGTTAAAAATAGGCCCTATTGACAATTACTACCGTTCAAAATTATAGGAATAAAATAATGCAAATTTTTACAATGCGCTATAACTTAGAATTTCGCAAATTGACTTTCTACTGCCTAACTGAGAAAATCGATACAAATCTCTGGGCAAACGATTTAATAAGCCCGCAAGACGTCTAGTTCAACCCTAATTTTGCGAAAAATCGCGACATTCCAGGGGTTAAAAAAAGTGTGACACGGCCCGTCACGCCAGTGTTACCGATACATACGCTTTAAACAATTTACTTAAAGGCAGATTAAAAGCCTATTCGAAATTTAATCTTTCAGTAAAACTATTATTCTCATTGATTGCAGCATTTTCTTCAGATACAACATATAGCGTCCCTGTGATAGCGTCACACATTTTCATGTTAAGTTTCAGACTGGCGATTTCCGCTAAAAAATGGTATATAAACAGAACAAAATCTAAAAACTAAAACTGATTACTGAATGAATTTTTGCATTGAGAGATATTTACGAATTAAATCATCGCCAGTCAATGCCATTTGGTTTATAAAAACTAATTTCCTTGAAGCAGTTAAATATTTTCGACTAAGTATGGGTGCAATTGTTCTTTTCAAAGTTTTTCGACCCTTGCGTGCTCTCTAAACTGAAAAAAAGCTACGTGGATGCCGAAGAGGAGCCTATATACTCGTATGACAACGTGTATGAATCATGAAGCTACGGCATGACTGTCTATATGACCCATTAAAACAAACTAAGAAGACACTTTGGTGCTTTGTCAGGCTTACCATTAACTCAGTTTCGGGTTGCTTTCGACGTTTCAGTGGAAAATTCCTGAAACAAACGGAACGTCTGAAAAGGCACTCATCTATTTTCCTGGTTGGAAAATGTCTTCAAACCTTTTTTGATGATTAGTTTTAGGCTTTCGCGGCCGTTTTTCATTAAACGAAACTAACTTAGGCAAATGGTAAACGCGATTACCGAACGGAATCAAAATTTTCTGCTCACCATTTGCCCAAACCGCGAAGCGACCGGTTTACCAATGTAAATGGTAGAAAAGTCTTGTGTCCAAAAGCCTGCGATACAGCTTCCTCTCATCGCTATCTGCCGCTAGGGACATTTCGTCAAAGAGCGGTGAGAGGCAGCTGTATCGCAGACTATGCATCATAGATCTGAAGTACCTTGAGGGGCCTTGTTAAGTGCACAGTAGATCGTAGCAATGGCAGATCGTTGCAATATCCCTGATATCTCTAATTACTTCTTAAGAGACACCAACAGAGAACTCGCTATTCCTTTACTCCAGACAAATGTTAAGAAAATTAGTTTTTCTGGAGCAGTTCTTTGGATTAGCCTTCCTATATATTGACCAGCAGCAGGCGAAGTCTCTTGGGGTTTTGAGGGCTGGCGGCAGACAATTAGCAGACTAAGGCTCTCAGTTGTATTCTGTTTTGTGACAAAGACAAAGGTAAGGTTTTAGAGGCCTTCTTTGGCGTCTAAGTTTCATAGACTAAGGCTACGGAGGATGAGGAAAGTCCTCAAGACTGTCCTTCCCATTTAGGTGTTCCCATTCGTTCGTTACAAGATTCTTCTCAGGTTTGGCTTAGTATTATACTCTATTTGTTTCCCTATTTTTACTGTTATTTTTTTTCGGCGAAAAAGACGATGCTCTCTTTCCAAACGCTGTTGAAAGGATATTTCAGTCTTTTAACCTGTTATCTGCAGTTCAGTATTTCAGCCAAAGTTTCCATGACACTAAAACGTCAATCAGTGCAAAGTCTTTCAGACCACAAACCGTTTTTTTTGCGTAAGCCAAGAACGCGGAATAGTCGAACGGATGATCTGGAGCAAAACAAAATGGTCGTTCCCTCTTGTCTGGAGCAAATGGGGGGCAGGGTGGGAGGAGTGAGTGAGACTGGGAGAGAAGCGAAAACTACGTCTAAAAAATAAGATAGAAACTGACAAAGAAAAAATAAAAGAAAGAAAACAAGAAAGAAAAAAATGACAGTTTCGCAGTCTAAAAGCAGTTGAGAATTTAGTACTACCAAATCCATTCCTGCTGATCACTAACAAAGCGCCAAAAGTGCTCGACGCTCAAGTTGAATATATACCATAAAAATTTGGAAATGAAGGACGTAGTTAACCTGAAACAGGCCTTCAGATAGTTGGGAAAACACAAAGAAAAGTGAGCTAGAAAAAATGGCGAAGGAGCGGGGTTAGGGAGAGACGGACGAAAGGTCCTCCTACTCTCTCCCTCTTACTCTCTTAAACCTTTGTTTTCCTCCGTTCCCCATTTCGTGCCACTGTCCAGTATCCACCATCCACTATCCACTGTCCACTACGCCTGGAATAGGCTAGTTCATAGTGGGCCAGAGCGTTTTTTCCAATGCCGATGCAAGGATCTATAGATGTCCATTTAGGAGCATTTGACATTTTTAAAAGCTCATACTCACGCTGCAACTATTCCTGCTTTAGCATTAGTAAAACGCCACTTTTTTTTCTATTTTCCATTTTGCTGTAGAGAAAAGTTTTTGGCGATTTGGTTTTGATGATGGTGTTTCATCGTCGATCGAAACGAGTTAAATGTTTTCTGAAACGTTCGTTACAATGTAACTTTATAAGCGTGATAATAATAAATCGAAACGTACATGTATACTGATACATAATTACTTAAAAGAGAAAACTCGCAAGAAAAAAAAAGTGTTCTAATTAGTTAATATTGGTTGTCCCCGTCTTAAATTTAATGTATCTGTGCCTTTTGAGGGATGCTTAAATTAATAAAACACACCACTGTACTTGTTTAAAGTCTGTTTTCGTTGGGCTCGGTCGTCGACGTCTTGCCGACGTCGATCAAAAAAACCGACTTTTGGGCAACTGCATCCAAACAAACTGACTCTTCTAAATAAGATAAGTGTATTGAAAGATGTAATATGGATTGAGTGCTGGAATTTGGCACGTGATCAGCGTTGAATAGAATGTTGAAAGTGTATCTGTAGTTAACACCGCTGGCGTGACGGGCCGTGTCACACTATTTTAACCCTATAATTTTGAACGGTAGAAATTGTCAATAGGGCCTATTTTAACAATATCTTTTTGGCCACAAATTTAGTACAGCTTTCACAAATTTATCGTCTTATAAGAAAGAAAGGGTCACAAAAACTATTCGTGTTTTTCAAAGGCTTCCAAATCGTTGTGGTTTGATGTACGAGTCAATGAAATTTGTGTAAAATTTCGTTTTACCGGAAGTGGATTATGAGCTCCGAACGGGCAAAATGAGTTTTCTCGAATTTTAGCAAAAGAACACGTTATTTGGGAAAACTATCTACAGCATGTTTCATTACTCGTTAAGGGTTATCGATGAGCCAAAAATGAGCGGAATTCGAATTTTGAACTTGTGCCACAAAAAAACGATTTTGGTTGATATTTACAGACAGTCGCTCTTAAAGAGCAATTGGAGGAGGGTTGTGAAAATGTACATTTGTTTTGCTTCTATTATTTTCCCCCTCCTATTTTTTAGTAAAATTATCTAATGCAGTGTTGTTATTCTTTATTGTGGAAAGGAAAAATGAGAAATGATAGCGGAGCGCGCGCAGCGGAGCACAATGGGTAACAAAATTAGAGACCTTAAGATACCCCGAAATCGGTGTACGGGTAACGGGTAGCGCCATGTTTTTTTCATTTTGTGGTGACGTTATCGACATTACCCGGTAGAACCAGCCGTGTTTCCGGGGTAGACACCAGTTTACCCGTAGAAGATTTACGAGTAGCTGCAAGTCCTACATGATGGAGAAACGAGTAAGTTTTTAGGACTTTTTAAGTACAAATGTAAATTGTATGACTCCTTGGCAAAGTTATTGCAAGTCTGTTCAAATATTTTTGCCAAATTTGAATTTTAGCTGTAAAGAAAGCGCTTCAAAATGTATTGATTTTGGACCTCAAATGAGCAGGTTGAACTCTGAAACAATATCAATTTGTGGCGGTATTTGGGGGGATTTCTGAGAATTGCTCGAACGTTTGAGTTTCGCAAAAGAAATAGCATTGAAAAATTTAGCATGGGAGTCACTGTTCAAATTGACAATCAAAGGAGTTGTTTGGTGATGTGCCTCGATCAAATGGCGGGGTTTGCGATAACAAGCTTTCGGTCGAGGGACTTCCCGCCAAGTTTCTTAAAATCTTTCTATGATATTTCAATAAGCTTATGTAGTCCTATGTATGAACGAATTATTTGTTGCAGCTTGTTGTTAAGATTTGAGGGAGATTTTGTATGCATTAAGCGACATGCATGTACAAAGTTAATTTTGCGTGCTTGTTCTTCGGGTATCTTAATCGAAATAGTCACGCACATGAACATTTTACGTGTACGGGTAGACTACCCGTACCCGTACCCGTACACCGATATCGGGGTATCTTAAGGTCTCTAATTTGGTAAACTATCCATCCGAGAAAAGTTGGTCATGACGTAGCGTACGCCCGCCCGCCCGTACACACACCTCATGTAAGCCGATGTCAAATGTCACAATAGATCTTGCACAACTTGACTAGCCTTTCAGTTTTGTAAGCCATCCGTATGGGTACGATTAGATTGACAGCTGTCAAAATCAGACATCCGTTGACAATTATCACATGACCATCTCGCGGGCTCTGATGAAAGACCAGTCGTTTTGCCCCTACATATAAGCTGATATAAAATGTCACGCTTACCAATTCAACGTAAAAACAAAACTACGCCGGGCAGGGCTGTCAGTCGGCTGACAGTCGTTTAAAGTTATATTGGCAAGCCAAATTAACAGCTGTCAAAATAGGGACATGAGCAGACCACTATCAGAAAACTAATAACGTGGGCTCAGGTTCGCTCAGGTACACGATCTGGCATTTTCCAGTACAAGCCGGACGGATATGTCTTACTCACACTGGTAGTCTGTTAACTCGAATATTCGCCATTCTAATGAAAGCTAATTGACAGCTGTCAAACTAGAGTATACGCTGACTATCATCACCTGACTGTATCGCGGGCTCATTTTTCTATCCATTGAGGTCACGTAGTTTGTAAAGTTTTCCGCTGATATTTTATTTGATCACGGGCTCAATTCGAAGCTCCATAGCTTAGAAAATCTATCCATCCTAGAAAATTCGGTAATCACGTGACCGTATACCGACCACCCGACCTTCCGTCCGTCCGCACCACAGGCATACCAATGTTCAATCTCACACTTTTTAGCTAGTATGGGAGCCTGCAACCTGATATTGTATACCCATGTTTTGATTAATTGACAGCTGTCAAAATAGTGTTTCTGCTGACCAGTATCGACTGACCGTATCGCGGGCTCAGGTATCGACCCACTGAGTTCGAATGTTTTTTTAAGTTATCCGCTGACAAGTTGCTACTTTTCAAATGATCGCAGGCTCAAGTTCAATTTTTTTAAAATGCATATGAAAGAAGTCGTGTTCATGAGCCGCACTTTTAAAATTTTGATTTCGAACTGACCTTGGACGCGAAAATTCAACCGGCTTTTACATGCAGGGAAGGCAATCGCCTTTGACTTTTCTCACTGTCACGCGTTGATCACGCTCTACGACCAATTTTTATGTTCTAATTGGTCAAAATTTGACAGGTGAGTTCATGCGGAAAATTTATGCAGCGTCTCGAAACTTGCTTACTGATAGCTGAAGCTGACAGAGTTTTGTGTCATCTTGGGATGTTTTAAACTGTCTTTTTCTTCTTGATGTACAAAATGAAATACAGCTGCTATCAAGATTGTTCTGTAGTTCATGGCTGGTTTGTTTATTGCGCTTTTTGTTGACAAATGTACCGTTTGTCAAAGTCATTGGAAATCCGATTTCGGATGACATCGTTTTCAAAAATGAGCTTACTCACTTGCCCTTGCTTGAAGCAGCATCTCGACTGGTAAGCCTGAGCAATTATTGTCTTTGATGTGTTTTTTTTTTTTTTCGGTTTCCTGAAGTGGAGAGTATGGTTTATGCGGCTTTAGTTTATACACGAGCAATGATCTAACCTACAATAGTATCAAGTTTAAAAAGCCTTTAGACGTTTTTTGACCGCAAATTCAAAGAATATATAGATATGATCTTGGCTGTAAACGGAAAGCTCTGAGCGATTTTCTTACCTTGAGTTCATCTTGAAAAAGAGCAAACACCGGGTAGCCGGCTTAAAACATAAATAAGCTTATGCTTACCTGACTCATGATTTTCAAAGACACTTTACTCTCAATACTTGTCTTCGTGAATGAAACTTATTGTCTCTTTACATGTTTCACCGAATTATATTTATTTTATTGATTGTTAGTAGTCCCTCTCGCAATTTTTATCGCTGCGCCGGTTGTTTCCAGTCGAACATAAACATCGCATACAGGAATACTCAAAACGCCGCGCGTAAAAAGCTCGCTTTGAAAGATTACACGTAACAAATCGTAAACAGTTTTATAAATAAAGGGAAATAAAAACTAAACATAACAAATTCTCTATTAATCTATTAATCGGCACTGCAAATTTGGTGCCTGTCAAAAGTGAGAACCCGTCCGGCTGGCCGAAAAGGTGGTTTTGGGAATTTTTTTTCCCTAAAAGCCCATAATTATTACCCTGCATATAATATAGGACCAGATTTTTCTTACTGAAAAGTCCCGGCATTATGGACTTCTCTCCATGAAAACGTTTTATAATGTGGTCAATGCTATAATTTGTTGTGCAAAGGAAGCGCGTGCTTTGATCTTCCTAGATATTGAATGAGTGCAATTTATCTTGCAAAATTGTGAAAAACTGCAGAATTATAGGTTTAAATAGGGCAAAAAAGAACAAAATTCTGTCCGAGGTCCGTATGATAAAAAAAGGGCCTCATAGATGAGAAAAAGTATGTTTAAAAGGCTGGTTTACACGCCACTAGATTCGTCGCCAAGATTTACTTGTAAAGTAAACTTGGCCTCCTGTTTAGACAGAGGAATGCAACGTGTAAATTGGCTGCCACCAAGATTCGGGGTTATCCAATCATCCATGGTCTCTCAAACGGAGCAACAGCTAATGCAAATACAATACACGAATAGGTCTATTTGTTTTCCAGGCCTAATTTACTGTGATCGAACATGATTGCTATTTTTGGGTGTACAAATAAGACTATTATCTCGATGTAAATTTGTTTCACTCTTGGACTGTCAAATTATTTTTCTCTAAAATCACTTAGCCTTTGCCTCAAAAGTCACATGAATGTGCCCTGATCTGTGGACTACAAGTTTATTGTTTGATTTAAATTGTGAATTTTTTAACGGGAGCTTCGCTTTTAGCCCTGGCTAGATCTATATATTACCTTTTTAGGATCCCGGTATTGGAATTTAGCAGCTTTTGCCTCGGAGGCTTCAAGCAAAATAAACTTCACTGCACTTCACTGTTCGTGGTGAAGTATCGGCTGTCTCCTGAAGAAGCATTTTCAAGACCATCGACTGGCCTACATTAGAGAGAATTAGAGTGAACGCCTATGGCAAAAGGCAAACGTAAGATTTAAGCTGCGAATTTCTCAAAGGGAACAGATAAAAACAGTCTAAAACAATTTTTTATGGATAAAAGTAACGTAAAAAAGTACCAATTTTTGTGTTAAAGTTGACTTAAAGTAATGAACAATAGAAGACAAGTGAATGGAAAACTTTGTCACCTGACCAACTTGGTCACCTGATACGAATTCACGTTTGCCGTTTTCTCGTGTTCCCACCCTCAAGAGAGATAGTGAGGAAGTGAAGGTTTCATTTTGTGTTGTAGCGTAACAGGAACAGAGAGCAATATTTATGCCTTTCTTAAAACGCGATCATCCAAGGTGAACTGATATTCTTTAATTCCAGTAATTTGTTTTGTTGGCTTAGATTGATGTTTTCAGTTTTGGAGTTCTGTTCTGTGAAATGTGCACCGGACAACTGCCAGAACCTGAAAGGCGCGAGGAGCAAGTGAGACTGGTGACTAACAAGAACTTTGGAAAGCTGATACTGTGGTGTATTGAAGATGATCCAGACATGAGACCCAGCATGGAAGAGATCATTGAGGAGCTGGAGCAGTTAAATAGTGACAATAATTATGAAAGAACGACGTAGCAGTAAGAAATTCAATGCGGAAAACTCGGTACACGCTAACTTTATGATGTTTCCATCACATTACTTTACGGCAACTTTTGACAGATATGGTCAAGGTATAAGCCAGAAATGATTATTACAACGGTTATTACAGTAGGGACCTTGCGATCTGAGTCCGGTGACACAAGTGAAACTTCACTGGAAAACTAAGTTCGCGTCCGGCTTTTAAAAATTTTGTGATTATTTCAAGTCGTTTAGTCTTTTAATAAGATACAATAAAATTAAATTGGTCGCCTTGTCGTTCACGTTCTCAAGAGAACTTTAAATTTGGCCTTTTCACGTAGTAGTTGTGTAGGGACCTCAAAGAAATTGACAGAAAAGCTTATGCAGATGCATACAGAGTAGCTGTTTAATCTTTGCCCCGTCGCCGTCGTCGTAGCTTTGTAAGGTTCCCATTACTTTGTAAGATCGGAATAGCTTGATCAATGTTATACAAGCCGTATTTTTTTCCTGTACAGATTGAGTCTGAGAAAACAGACGAATTTGCTATGCCACTACTAGTTTCCCCGCGAATGACAACTGAGGAACGAGCGCAGAAATACGCACGTCAACCGGAAGTGGACTTTTTGCACTCTTCGGCCGTGATTTTAAACAAACCTTTGGGCAAATCGTCTCTATAAGAGTAAAGCCACTTAGCCATACAAATATGGTGGCGTATGGTTGACGTGCGTTGCTCAAACACATTGCTGCTTAAGCTCTCCAATGTCATACTGCTGACGTTTCACTACCCAGATCTGGGTAATAATTCTGATTGGTCGTGCTGCGAGGTCACTTCAACCAATCAGAAGCACTGCTCAGTGTGGAGTTTCTGCGCTCGTTTCTCAGACGTCATTTCTCGGGGAAACCAATGGCGGCGTCGCAAAACGTCGGCTGTTTTCTCAGGTTTTGTACGGATCTACACTGTACCTGATAGATATATTTATAGTTTAAAATACAATTTACATGTTCATTAAAGTATTTGTTGTTAAGAATACAGTTTACAGAGTAGTTATTGATTGAGGTATTTGCAGTGTAAAGATAATTGAAGTTAAAGTGCCCATAACGAATTTTTTTTCTTGTCTCATCCGAATTTACAGATCAAGCAATGATGTTCCGCTAAGAAATTTGTTGATTCTGACGAAACCCGATTTTCTTAATGATTTTTTTAACTCCTTGAAATTTGCCGCCATTTTGTTCCACCATTCGCATTAGTCTCCTCACGGTCGGACCGGAGCAGTGACGTAGTCGTGACGTAGGTTTAGGAACTCTTATTCCACACAAATGAAAACTGGTCTATTCGTTGGTCTATTCGCCATTTGCACATCTCCCGTAATACAGCTTGTTTGACCCCAAAAATTTACATAAGCATTGTCTTCAATTTCTCTTGGGGCGACTGCAATACCCAGAAATTTAAAATAAAAGTTATGCTTTTTTGGGGTGGAGGGGGGGAGGAAGGGGGGGTGGGGGCTCTTAATAGTCGTTAGGTACTGAAGTTGAGAATTAAATTTGCATATTAGTTAGGTATTTGTAGTTATGAAAAAAAGTTCCGTATTGTAATAAATATTACTCAAATAAGAATACAATTTACATAGAAATTAAAATTTGTTATAATGATTAAAGTATACGTAGTAATTACAAAGTAGTTAAGCATTTGTATACATCAAAGAATTGTGTAGTGTTTGTTTAAGATAGTTTTTGGATTTACGTAGAACTGTAGATAGATCGGTTTTTATTTATGTGTGAAGTGTCTGATAAAGCATTCATAGTTTTAAAAATTACGCTTTTCAAAGAAAATTAGTTTTAAGTTACTCCGGATAATCACAAACGACGCGGACAATTGAAGAAATGAGACCCGGAAATACGATACATAGCTGCTGCTCAGTCATACGCGGGAAAATATGAACGAAGGAACGAATGGTATCCACTTTTTTCTGATTGGTCGAGTGCTGGGCAGTTTTGAACCTATCACAAGACGAACGTGCTCAAGGAAACAGGTAGGCGTTAACTGAAAAGTGTTCTGAGTCGTAGCGTCTAAAAAGTTTTTTTTTTGCAATATATTTTCATAAATATAGAGAGCATAGTTTGTTATAAGAAATTACGTAATTTTATATGTTACAGTCTACATGTGTAATTAACTTTTACGGTATGTAGCAGATATGACACATCAGTGTAAAACATGATTTTGCTGATAGTGTAATAGAATGGATATACCTTTTTAAAACTATTTTTATTTATTATCTAACGTCCATTATGCTGTTTTAAAATATTTTGTATAACTGACAACAGTGAAACGGCCCGTAAGCGAGCACATTGAATGCATGTCTAGTTGACGATAATCGATCTCAGAGGGCGATCAGCGACCCACCTTCCCAACCCACCAGGCATGACGCAGTGCGATGCCTTCAATACAGTCATGTAAATGTACCGCTCTCCACACTTCTTGATAGCGATTGGACAGCGACTATTTTCACCCCTCCATATCGCATTGTATATTCATGTGTATTGTAGGTAGTGAGAATATGATACAAGTGATAAGAGGGCAACTGACTCCCAGAGTTGCGGAAATTTGACAGAGATGTTTTCATTAACGTGTTAACCGTTTTTAACATATTTTTTTAGATCTTTTTAGGCACTAACTCGTTTGTAAAACAGGTTCCAACTAAAACAATCTCACTCACTTTCGCTATCAAGGTTTTAAAGGCAGATTTTTTTGGTCCACACATTAGACTTTTTTTTTTTCAAAAATAACTCAATCGTTAACAAACAGTGGGTCCACGCTGCCCCGGGGAAGTGACTCTCCTATGAATGTGAGGTGGGTGCTCGTCGGTAAATTAGAATTAGACTTCCAAGAGATGACTTATGTCCAGGATTGATCTTGTTAGCAAAAATTTGCTAACAAGTTCTCTTCGCAATTTTAGAAGAAAAGATGAAAAGAAAACTGCTATCAAAAAAGTATAGAAGAAAGAGCAAGTTTCGCAAAAATCGCAAAAGTAACGAGAATTTTTCTTGCTATATGAAAAATCGCAAAAGTAGAAAAGTTCAGAAGGGCTTCGTGGAGTCCGCAAAAAAAATCCCAAAGGTAACGAGAATTTTTCTTGCTATGAGAAAGTTTGAGTGACAAATATGGCAAAAATAGCAAGAATAACAAATTTAACAAAATTCTACACTTAGAAAGAGAAAAGGTCAAGAAGGGCTTCGAGAAGTCCGCAAAGTTTTGCAAAAATCGCAAAAGTAACAAGAATTTTTCTTGCTATGTTAAAAGACTGAGCAACAAATATGGCAAAAATAGCAAAAACAACAAATTTAACAAAATTCTACCCTTCCTGGGCATATTTCTATCCAAAGATAACATTTTATTGCCTATGACAGTGTCATTACATTCATCGTGGATTTATACACCCCTGCATTATGAAATACAGCAGTCGCACGACCCCTATTGGAATACCACTTGGAGGGCTTTTCCCCAGTGTCCTGTACAGCTTTCTCAATTCTGATTGGATTGGGGCAGCAGATAACAGTGGCCACGACTACAAGGACCCTCGCTTTATAATTGCATATTTTTAGTTTTGGCAGGCTTTATCATCAATCGCTACGTAGACCTGTCACTTTGCAAGCTAAGAACAAACTACAGTGAAGGTTACTCCATTCCGCAAGGCTATTTATTTGAAGTCATATCATGCCCTACTTATTTTGGTTCAATGCTGGAACGGGAACAAAATTCTCACAGGCAGCTAACCGAGTTGCAACAACGTGAACAAACTTTGCAGCGGCAGCTCAGAGAGGTTCAAGAACGGGATCAGAACTCCCCTTGACAACTAACTTGAGTTGCAGCAACGCCAAGAAAATTTCCAGAGTCAGTTAAGAGAGATGCGGTAGGGAGAAGGGAATTGACAAAAGCAGTTAACACAGCTTCAGGAACGGGAACAAAACTATCAAAGGCAGCTAACGTCGTCGCAACAACGCGAAGAAAACTCTCAGAGGCAGCCGGAGTGAGGGAGAAGCAGCGGCAGCTGAGGGAGTTAAGACAAAGAAAAGAAAATTCACAAAGGCAATTAAGGGAGACAAGACAGCAGTTGACAAATTGCCTTGGACAAGTTTCTGAACTACAGTTAAGTCTTTCAACAGCTCAGCAAACAATAAGTCAGTTACGCAGCCTTGAAACACGTGACTGGGTTATTCCCCGCGACGAAATTCAAATCACAGATGAATGCCTTGGGAGGGGAGGATGGGGAAGTGTCAATGAGGGAACGTATTGTGGCTGTACTGTAGCAGTGAAAGAAATCCACGAGTTGATTCTCTCCCCTCATAACATACGTCGTTTTGAGAGGGAAATGGATATTGCGTCCAAGTGCCGCCATCCTCACTTACTACAGTTTATCGGCGCCACCATTGATGAGGGAAGTCCTCTATTTGTCACCGAGCTGATGGAGAAAAGTCTGCGGGCTCTATTGGAACAGCGACAACTCTCTGAAACGGAAATACGCGTTATTTCACTGGATGTAGCACTTGCGCTGGACTATCTTCATCAGAAGAAACCAGAGCCCATCATTCACCGGAATGTCAGCAGTGCTAATGTTTTGCTTTGGCGACAAGGTGACCAATGGAGAGCCAAAGTGTCAGATTATGGCACTGCTAATTTCATACAGCAGACCATGACAGTGGCTCCTGGAGTTATGATTTACAGCGCACCTGAAGCACTTACATCACACCAAACAGTCAAGGTAAGTATAGGTGAATATTCAAGACTGTTTACTTACTAAAACTGTACAGCAATGCTAACAGTGGCAGAAGTGAAAGTAACCCTTGCCCTTTCGCCCAAACTCGCCATCTTGTCACTCCACAAACAATACAACATTTTTGAACTGAAATGAGCATATCATTGTCAGGAGTCTTTGTACCTTGTTCTGCACTTTTTTCACTCTTTTATGTTCCAGCTTTTCATGTATTTTGTCCACGTAATTGGATTCGTTAATTTATCCCTTCTTTTCTCTAAAGACAACAGTTACAGGATGGCAAAAGTTAGTATTTTTAGGAACAAAACAATAAAGCCAAGAACTGATCATGATGCGTTTTAAGGATCTTCTGTTTTCTAGTCTTTTCTTATCCATTTATCGATAATCATCTATTTCGTAGTTTGAATTCTCGAGATTCTCCCTCTGGTGTTACTTTAACTCTTTTCGTAATCAGTATACCACTAATAAGTAATACAAATAAATAATATTCTGGCATAAAGTCATGTATTATTATTGTTTTTAGGTTGATGTCTACAGCTTTGGTGCTCTTCTTTGTGAAATGTGCATGCGGGAACTGCCAGATCCTACAAGGCGAGAAGATCAAGTTGTGCTTGTAACAAACGCTGTGTTTCGCGACCTGCTGCGGCGATGCCTGCAGAGAGAGCCTGGGACGAGACCAACAATGCAGGGAATAATCGATGAACTGAAAGATGCCAATGTATCATCTTAATTGTAGAACCAACGCTACACCATATCATTGATAATTCCTGGAAATGTGTGCCCTTAGCCTGTTCCAGTCGTTCAGATCGTGGAGAGTGGCGCGCGCTTTTATTTGCGTCTTCCCCACTATCTGAATGCCTGCGCTCTGAAAATTGAAGAGGGCCCGGTGCTCTGAACCTGTGAAGATTGTGAAATCCAGGGTGCCCAGGATTTGATTTATGTGAAAAAAAATACTTCCTTTATGCCCAAGGGCAAGATTAAGGCACCAGGCACTACCGGGCACTGGCAGAGAAAGCCCTGACTGGGCATTTATTGGTAAAAATAGCTGCACTTTCTTCTTGAAGATTCAATATGGCCAGATTTTCTGATATGAATAAGTGTCTGTATGATCGTTAGAGTAACAAAAATGAAAAATAATAGCTTTATTTTTACATATGCAATACATTATTTACAAAATATATTTTTACCGTTATTCCGATATTACTTTCTTATGAAGGTCATACAGCTGAAGTAGACCGCAATATAAATCAAAGATAGGAGTAGATAATGTAGCCTGCGTCGCAGACGTAATCTTAATCCGGTGTATAATTAAAAGTAACGTTCTTGTTCTGGGCCCTCAACGGACTGAAAGAATTACCGGAAATGCGTTTCGATTTTCTCTTCCATCTGATTTACAAATTAAGAGAGGCTTTCTTCACCGGGTAACTGGCCAATCATAGCGCGTCCTCAAATCCTGATACACAGGTGGGGCCCTCATTGAACAAGTATTTCAGTGCTGTTTTGCAGACGAACTTAACAAGAGGCTTTAGTTCCACCGTTTGTGGCGCAAGCTATAGATATGGCGCTTATTACAAGTTGTAGAATGCACAATTAAACACGCGTAGTGGTTAGCAGTTACGGTAGACTCAAAGAAGACATTTATATTTGAGTTAAAACAGGGTGTACTTTAATTCCAATGAAGTAGGTTGTAGACGTGAAATAGACTAACTTGACTGAAGATACCAGTAGACATGTCGCTTGTAACAAGTTTTAGGACATAGAATTAAATACGCCCAGTATTAATTACCAATAACGGCTGACATTTGTATGTAGAGTTTCCTACACTGGCTAGCTATACGTAACGTACTTATAAAGGGGGATTCGTTCCTTAATTCCTGTGTTACATACTTATGAAGTAGGTCACAGATCAATATAGACGTGAAATAGCCGACTAAATTGACTGAAGATACTAGTAGATATGTCGCTTATAAAAAGTCAATTAGGATATACCACTGAATCCGCGTGTAGCTGAGTAGGTCACCTGCTTATGAGGTCATACAAATGAAATAGGCCATGTTAAATATACAATATTGAGTGAAGACACAAGTATATGATGGCTTATGAAACGTTTTAGCGTTTATGATTAAACGAGCGAGTTAGAAAGCAATTGTGATCAGTTAGAGTTTGCTATGTAATGGGTTATTTGAAAAATCGAATGCTCATCAGTTCAGATATTACTTACTTATAAAGTACGTCATTCACGTAGAATGGACAATATTCAATAATAAGAGAAACGAGTAGATGTGTCGCTTATATTTGATGTACTATTAGCGTTTTCTATTCAACGGGTAAGTCGACTTATAGAATAGGATTTTACCCAAATAACTTATTAAGTATACAGTGAGTACAGGTCGTACCCTTAAAATAGACAAATATTTTAACAGAAACGAGTAGATTATCTTGCTTTTTGCAAGTCTTACAGGACATTCAATAATTATACAGCTATGGCGGCTGAGGCGATTTCTGTCTTGTTGAATTGAGGCTGTTATGATGAGGGTGTGTCTTGTTTCGAGACCACAATGCATTTATTTATGCCAGTAATTCTGACAGGAATGAGATCGTAGAGACCATCGTATACAGCTCCGCACAGCTGCTAAACACATCGATCACGCACTGTTTGTCGCAATGCATTTCTTGGAAATTGAAGGGTGTGAGTAAGCGGACTCTCTTATATCTCAGCGCTTGGAGTTAAATCAGGGCATTCAGTTTGAGGTGGACCTAGAGCGAGGAGCATAGAAGCTTCAATCCAACCACAGGCACAGTGCGTTTTAAAGAGACAAAGGTAAATTTGTATCTTGTTTGTTCATAAGGCTGCCGTTTGATTTTAGATTTGGCGAAAGAGATCAAGTTTTATTTAAAAAGAAGTCTGTTGCCCTGTTTTGGCTCTTGGAATCATAAAGGCAAAATGCTTCCCTTCAAGGCCTTCCAGAGTATGGGAAATCAAGGAGAAAGGGCTTTACACGTAAGAAGGTTTTTTTTTTTTACAAATTCGAGACCGGTTATACGTCAGTGACATAAATCATATATAGCCTGAATTGGTGTAAATGTTTGCAAGACATCTGCTGATACACAGAAAACAGTTCTCGGAAAGAACGATCATGACGTTTATGAATGTAAATATTAACCCAGTTTTGCAAACTTGACGGTGCTTTCTGTTCGATTCTTATTTTTTCTAAGGTTCAATCTTTTCTTTCTTTTAATGGTCGTTGTGCGTTGTGTTTTGGCAAGACTCGGCATATTGCTAGTACGTAAAAGTGGAAGTGTTTTTGCCGAACGTGTTTTCTTTCTCATTTCATCAAGACCGAAAAAAATCGCCTTTAAGAATTTCTGAACAAAGTTAAAAGCAATACTTTAATCTTTGCAAACTAAGAAGCTGTTTTGAAACAGTGTAGCCTATCTCCCGCCTATGCAAAATACGTAGCCTTTGTTTACTAAGGAAATCCCGAAGACAATGCGGAAGTTTACCTGTTTCTAAGAATTGTGTGGTCGAACAGTGGATTAAGTTTGAAGGTGGAAATATCACGGTGAGGATAAAAGCTACCGGTAGTCTTCAGTGACTAAAACACTGCGAGTCTGCAGTTAATTATAGGACTAACTTGTAAATAATTGTTAAGTGAAAAAACTGGTACATTTAACTTGAGTTTTTTTTAATGAATGTCGCTTGGTTTAGCTTGATGTGGAGAGCGCATGTGTCGACAAAAACGAAGGGCGCTGAAGATTGCAAAGAGTTTTTACTGACAGAGCCAACAAAACGATCTTAAGCATGTTACTGCAGCGTCTACTTGTACTTCTTCTTGTACTGTATCTCACATTAATCCAACCTAATGCTAATAAGAAAATAACTTTTGACAGCGCAAAAAACCGCGTTTGAAACCGTGTTTATCGTACATAAATCTGATGGTCCCAAGTGTTTCGATTCAGACCTGTTTCTGAAAATTAGTGGTTGTTCAAATGCCTAAGGAAGCTTTAAAAAAACATTAGGACCTGTGTCTGATAAATAGTATTGTCGACTTAGCCTGCAGTGCAGGCGTATTTTGGGTGGGCAAAACCTTGTTCGTGTTCGTAATATTGTTGTAGCCGCCATCTTTGATTTTACGACAGTGGAAGATTGGGGAGAGTGTATCACTGACATTTTACTTTGGATAGTTTGAATCCCTGCTATTTTGGACATTCTACAATGTCGAACCAACTATGTCTCCCTCTGAATAGTTTTAGCACAGTTCCGTCGATGCCCTTAAAGATCAAAATGTGTATCGTGTTACCCTTCCTGTGCAGTTCAGTGCAGCATTTTATCCAATATGATAAAGAGAATGCGATTTGACATCAAATTTTCGGGAGAGTCAAGATTACGACATATCCAACTGCAAAAAGGGAGTGCAGACATAAATGTTTAAAAAAAACCTAACTGAGGGACCAGTGGCCGGAAACAATGGCGGTCTTGACTTACTGTCCTAGCAACATCTTCTTGCACAAAAACCTAGCCTTATATTGGCCATAAAAAGGCAGTGTTGCGCCATTATCATAGGCTATATGGACTTATGTAAGAAATCTAAATTATTTGCTATTTGGCACTGAGTTTTTCATTGGCATTTTAAAAGCAAAAGTTCACATTTACAAACAAATTCATATACAGAAACTCCCAAACAACTATGGCTCGTATCCTTTAGCTTTATAAAGTCTCCAGGTAATTGGCCGATAGTGTGGTGCGACCTTTGCTAAAAGGGAACCTAGAAATTTGGCAACTTTGCGGCAAACATTAAAAACTCATTATGTGTTCTCTTACCTCCACTTTCGAATTAACATTCGAATTAATCAGGTGATGGTATTTATAATGTGAGCCTGAGAAATGGCGAGGTACAAAGGCGTGCAACAATAATCGGTCAGCAGGATAATGGTCGTCAGATCAAACGTGTCCTGCCAGGTCCAATTAATCATTGTGGTTGTAATTCCTGTCAAATAGACTAGAAAGAGATTGAGCGATAGTAAGAAATTTTTAATAAACATGCACAACCAATAAAACGCAAACACAGTACAAACGAACAATTAACGGGTTTAAAAAATTACTTCACAGACTGTGCGATCTACTCACGTCCTTTTATTCCTACAATATATCCGTGACTTGCAAAAGTTAATTTTACCGAGAAAAGTCAAGAAACACATCGTGAGAATCACGGTCCGGTTAATCTAATAATAATAATAATAACCTTTATTTATTACCTTTTGCGATAAGAATTACGGTAATATTACAATAAAAATTCAAAACACTACATATTATATATACATATCAAATTAAGTTAAGTTTAGCACCTCTTGGAATAAATGATTGTTTGTGCCTAACAGTGTGTGATACAGGTATTCTGAGGTGGCTGGGTTAGTCTTACAAGATCTTAGATTATGGCCATGGTCCACTGGCTTTTCTAAAAAACGTTTACAGGGATGTGCTTCAGATTCTAGGATACGTTTAAATTCTTTCCTCGTCAAATTCTGACGCCTAGTTATAAGTGACTCAACAGGATCCCTAGGGAGACCAATGACATTTAGACATCTATTCTGCACTCTCTGTAGATCTTCTTCGAGGCAAATGGGCAGCCCTCCCCAGACAGGCGAGGCATATTCTAAAACAGGTCTAATCTTAGTGATGTAAGTTGTAAGACCAATGTCCCTGGGGAGATGGGCTGTTCTACAGACCCT